CAGCCTGGCTTCCCAGAGGGCTGCACTGGGAAGCAGAGGCCAGGGTCTCTGTGAAACAGCCACCCGCACCAGCCCAGAACACCGCTCCCCTCCCCGCTGCCCCCGCAAAAGGGAGGTCGGTGGTCTTCCAGCTCACCTCGTTTGTTCTGTGCCCACAGGAGTCACAGTTTGTGGCCATGATAATCACTTCCTTGAAGTGTGGGATTTCTGGAGCAGACAGTCAAGGAAAACTCGACAGAAGGAAAGTCTCAGAGAAGCAGCCTGTGCCCTCTTGGCAGCCCCAGTCCTTCCCAAGGCATTGCAGGAGCTCACCAGCAGGTCATGAGTGGCACTGAGACACGTTTGCACCCTGACAGGCTCTACTAGAAGTAATTCATTCCTGCCTCGTGGGTGCAGCAGGAAGAGACCCGGGGCAGCACACAAGGCAACCCTCACCTCACCCCTTGCCAGCCTCCAAGCAGACCCCCGCAGAGGGCACCAATCTGCACCCACAGCCCCGCTCAAAGGATACGCACTAACTTCATGTTGGTGTTAGCTGGAGCGTTGCACTCAGGGCAGTTGGTGTTGAACTGCAGAACCTGGGTCACAGGAACGGAAAGGGGAATCAGAACATGCCGGGCAGCCCAGGGAGCCCGTCCTGCATGCCAGTTAGCCAGGCACGGCTGCCACCGCACCACAAAGCCACCCACCTCATTCCTCAGATCCTCCGCAGGATCAGCTGGCTTCTCATCCAGCTCCTCTCCCTGCAAGGGGGGACACCAGAAGCAGCATTAGCTCCTGTTCCTTCATCAGGGCCTCCCAGAGAGCGGGGGGACTGCCAGCCCTGCTGCCCCAGGCTGACAGCACGCACGGGCCCCCCGGCCTCGCACGTGCAGCGGGCTGGCAGCACGGCAGCAGCACCAGCTGCCCGTTACCTCCAGTCCCAGCAGAGCAGCCTGCTGGGGAGTCCTCCTGTAGCGCGTGACCACCAGCGCATCATCCTTCTGCGGCGCGCGAGGGTTCTCCACAAAGCTGTTCCCCGAGGGGTCGTCTAGGACCTAGGGGGGAGCGAGGCCTCAGGCAGCCATCCCGCACTCCCCCCGCGCGGAGAGGGAAGGGGGAATGTACTTCACTCACAAAGGTGAAGGGGGAATGCACTTCCTTCAGCTGCTTTAGTTTACCAATAAACTCATCGATTTTCCTTGCCACTTCCTCATCTGCCGCCTGCAAAAGAGGACGCGTTCGAGACTGATGCCAGGGGCAGCCCAGAGCTGGCGCCAACGCTGCCAACAGCACAAACCAGAGAGCCCACGATGCTAGGGGCAAGGTGCAATGCCATGGGCAGAGGGTGAACAGAATCAGCGCTGGCCAAGCAGGAGCTGCCCCTTTCGCAGCATCTTACCCTGCGGACAGGCTGGTCCTGCTCCAGGCCCGCGATGGCTCTGTCAATTATCCCTTCGATGGTGGTAAGGACTTGAGAAGGAAGGAAAGAAGAGATGGCAACGTGCCCTGGGGTCCCCCCTGCCCTGCCGGCTCGTGCTGCCCCCCGTCAAGCTCAGTTGACCCAACAGCCAGGAGCCAGGTCCTCAACCGGCATCTGCCTCACCCCTGCCGGCATGTTGAGGGGCACCGGCCACGTACACACCTCCCTTCTGGGAGAAAGCAGGGATCTCAAAGTCCAGCTCTGGAATCTGCACCGTGGCACAGTCGGTCTTCACCACCTCCCTGTTCATGTCCTGCAGCGACAGCCGAGGA